AGTTAATAGTAAGTTACCTTTAATTAATTATATTTAATATTAACATAAAAATGTTTCTCATATACAGTATTCTGATGAAAATCCTATTCCATTTGTATTCATATTTTTTCAAGAGTTGCTATCTGTTGTGTCCTGGGGTTATTGTACTTCCAACTCTTTAATGTTATACCAATGTTGACTAATAGCTTACTTGAAATGTGGGTGTTAATAATGGTTATGACTAACTATACATTCTGAGATAAAAAAGACAAAGTAGAACAGACAATAAAATTATAGAAGATATTTTTGTTGCAGTAAGATTATCTGTCATGATGGTGTCGTGAGCCCATTAAATTCTGGTCTATGTTCTTAGCTTCTGACTTAGATCATAAATTCATTGAATTCCTCTGTCAGGTAAAAAAAGTGACTTCTTCTGCAAAATGATCAGGATTTCAGATTCCCTAGGGAATGAGTGGAACAATCCCTTGGAGTGCCTCGTTCATGGTCAGAACCATTTCACGCTTTGGAGACTTGAGGGTTTGGGACTGTTTCTTCCCTGAGAATCTTACCTTATTCCTCTCTATATGCTGATGACTTTCACATTTATTCTGATTCACTGTCATTTCTTCTACCTCCGGTTTCCTCACCTCCAGGGAAGAGGCACAGATATTTGATCAATTTATTTATTCAGAAGACTGAGAGTAACTTATCTTCCTCCACCCTGTGCTTGCACATTCAATCACAAAGTCTTCTACATTCTGAGTCCAACATTGATCTACTACTCTCTTTCTCCATTTTCAACACTTCTACTTTATCCTGAGACCTCTTACATTTATTTTATAGTCATACGCTTATGATTGCTAATTTGATGTATCACTTTGACTAGACTATGGTGCCCAGTTGTTTGGTTCAACTCCAGTCTAGATATTGCCCTGATGGTATATTTTTAGATGTGTTGAACATTTAATTGGTGAATTAACACTTAAATAAGTATAACGTTGAGTATATATCTAAAGGATATAAAATTAATATCTTGTCTGAGTTGCCGTGTTAATTTCAGCATCATTTACAATAGCCAAAGTATGGAAACACCTGCATATTCATTAGTAAAAGACTAGATTAAATATTCTCATAATTGAATATTATTTAGCTTTAAAAAGAAAGGGATTCTAGGGGTCAACAAGTGGTGTGACAGTTAAGGGCACTGGACTCTCACATGGCCGATCGCAGTTTGAGTCTCAGACCCGGAGGCTTGCTTTCCCACTTTCTCTCTCACTCTGTCACTCTCACTCTCAGTCTGTCCCTATCTGGTCAAATTAAAATAAATAAACAAATAAAGGTTTTTTTAAAAAAAAATGAGATTCTGCCATTAATAACAATATGGATGGAATATGAGGATGTACATTATGTGCAATAAATCAGATACATAACGAAATATTCTACATGATTTAACTAATATGTGGATACTTTTAAAACGTTGGATATATAGGGACAGCATAATGCTGGTTACCAGTCATGATATGGAGAGAACAAAAGACAGATCGAAAAGACTATATTGCAGTTATAGAAGATGAGTAAATTTAGAGAGAACAAAGTGTTTTGCAAAGAAAGAAAATAATTTTCTGAAAGTTTTTTAAAACTGTATCTATACTTTTTTCAAAGGTAGCTGTCTGCTGTGTTAGGTTATTGTACTTTCAAATCTTAAAGATCAGGGACACTTTGAACAATAGCTTATCCTGAAATGTGAGTAATAACAATAGTTATGACCAAGTGTACATTCTGAGAGAAATGACAAAGTAGAATAGTCAATAAAATTATTGGAGATGTGTTTCTTGCAGAAAAGTTTTCTGCTGCAGTTGGGCTTTGTGGACTCACAAAATTCTGATATATGTTCCTGGCATTTATCTTTAACTTCGATATCTGGGGAACCAAAAAATGGATGAGATGCCCATGACAAACTTATTGATTCCCCTGTCATATAAACTAGATGACTTCCTCTGTGAAAATGATCAGGGTTCCTGATCCCCTTAGAGAATGAGTGGAACAAACCCTTGGAGTGACTTGGTCATGATCAGACCTACCACATGCTAAGGAAGCTTGAGGAATTTGAAATCTTTTCTGAGAATCTTAATTTAGCTCTCTCTATATTTTGATGATTGTCATGGTCATTTTTCTTTTCCTTCCTCTGTTCTACCTCCAACCTGCTTACATCAAGTGAGAGGTACTAGGATTCAATCGAGTTGATTCAGGAATTTGATAGTCATTATTTATTTCTTCTTTTACCCTCCTACATTCAATGCCAAAATTGGACAGCCTGAGTCCAGTGTTTGCCCTCTCCTTCTCTCCATCTTCATTATGGGCACTTCTGCTTCATGCTACAATCTCTTGACTAGGGAGCCCAGTTGTTTGTTTCACAGCAGTCTCAAGTTTGCTTAATGGTAATTTTTAATCCATGATCTAATGTTTTAATCAGTAAAATATTGGGTATATGCCCATAAGAAAATAAATCAGAACTCATGGATATATTTGATCCACCATGTTCATTTCAGCATTATTCACAGTAGACATGTATGGAAACAACTTAAGTGTCCATCAGTAGATAAATAAATAAAGAAATGATGGTGTGTGTATATATATATATGTGTGTGCGTGTGTGTGTGTATAAAATGTCCTTTGGCCTAAAAAAGGCAGAAGTACTTTTTAAAAAAAAAAAATTTATTTAATTTTATTTATCTTTTTTTTTTTTAATTTGCTACAGGGTATGTGTGCTCATCAGAGAGAGATAAAAAGAAAAAGGGAGAAATCAATTAAAGCAAAGAAAGTGAGAAAGTAAGCCACCAGATCCAGGACTTGAACTGCAATTAGCCATGTGGAAGTCTAGAGCCTTAACTACCATGCCACTTGCTGGCCCCAAGTTACTTTTTGCAACAATATAGGTGGAAGTTAAGAACATTGAGCAAGATGCATGGAGAAAGATACTTCAGGATAGCTGTTACACAAGGAGTCATCAACAAAGTTGATAGCAAGTACATACTATGAAAAGATTTTTGAAATGATTTTGCACCAGAATAAACTTGCACTTCAATCTCATTTTTCACAAATATATTGGGTGTGTGCACATGTATGGCCCAAGTCCCAACAGGATGGAGAAATGGAAGAGAATGTGGCATGACCATACCCCATTGGAGGGTTTTCTCTCTCTCTCATCTCTTTCTCTCTCTCCTCCCCTCATCTCCAGTGAACCACATGCACCTCTGGCAATTACAGAAAGTAGCACCAAATATTTAATATTAAAGGATTAATAATGGTCTGGTCCCATAGCACAGCAGTGAATGCAGCCAAGTCCCATGTCTCTTTCAGTGCAAACCCCAGTCCTAGTGGCACTCCGGGCACATGTGCGTACATGCCCCAAATCCCAACAGGATGGAGAAATGGAAGAGAAAGGATTGCAGCATGACTACACTACACTGGGGAGACGCTTTCTCTGTGCGTGTGTGTGGCTCTTTCTCTGGTGAGCACACATGTCCTCTGGCAATGAAAAAAGAATTACCAACTTTTTATTTATTGTTTCTGTGCTTTCATGAGCCTTTACCTTAGAGAAATATATACAGAATTATTTATTAATAACCACAGTTTATCCCTCAAGAGCTGAAAGTATCAATCTTTTTTTAAGGCTTTTGCCGTAGGGCACATTTTTGGTTTCAGGATTAATCTATTTATGGAAAGAGCCTGAATGAGGGTTAAGTTTCCTTCTTTCAATAAGGCTTTAGTCTTGACTAAATATGGAATTTTCTACATATGTGTTGTTCACAACTTTTTAAACATTTATGTTTGGCATTTATATTATATGTATGTGTTGTGTTTTTATAGATTTACTTTGTACAAGAGAAGTTACAAAAAGGAAGTTAGGTGCTTCAGGTTTAACATTTGCCATTCTTGGTGAGTAACCTGTAAAGGTTGACAGAAAAATTTCATATTCTTATGTGGTCATTGATGGCATTGATTGGTTCATAGTGTTTATCATGCACTGATTTGTGCCAAGAACTTGGCCAGAAAAGAGAACTACTTATAGGAAATCATAGCCACTTTCTTGTGCCTAGACATCCACCAGGTCTAGAATTAAAGGAGATTTAGTCTGTTCCTTCCATAAACACAGAGGGAGAGAGACAGAGATAGAGAGAAAATATGCAGAATCACAAATGCCCCAGTGAACAGTAACCTAGATGGCTATCTAGTGGCATGACTTCCTCACTGTGCTACCCAATTATCTTTCCTCTCCTCTCCTTCCGGAACACATGGCTATAAAAATTATCTGGTGGGAATAGCAGATGGCAAAAGGGTATGTCTCTGGACTCCCACAAAGTCAACTGCAGTTTGAGTCCCAGACCCAGTGGCTTAAAACTTACACTAGGCGCATGTGTGTGCAAGCCCTAAATCTCAAAAGGATAATGGAGGAGAAGGGATTGCAGAGTCACCACCCCTCATGGGAGATGATTTCTCACTTTCTATCTCTGTCTCTCTGGTGTGAGCACATGCCCTATAGCAAAAATATCCTTCTTTTAAAAAAAAAAAATCTACCTGGTTACATTTAGGAAGAGAAAGAAAAATATTTTAGACTATTCTGATGAGTTGTTTGCAAACATGTAGGAGCGACTATCCTTGCAAATGAGACAAACAACAACTTTGATATTCAATTCTCTTACAAAAAGTGGTAACCTGCACAAGTAATGTTTGTTCAGAAAGCCTAGTGGACACTAATCACTTTGCTGGCCGGATACATTTGAGGGGAAGCAGCTAATTGATGTAGGTGTATTGGGATATGTAACCTGCTCGACCAAGACTCTGCTTCTGTGGTCATTTCTCTGTATCAGGCAAGTGATTTCTGCAAAAAACCACATTCAGAAATATCAAATGGACACAGTTGAGTGCCTCAAGTACTGGTTAATGAATAAACTTGTTTTAAATTGGCATACTACTGGTGTCCCAAGGCTTTTAATTTTTGTTCTTAATTTAGACTCTTAATTTTCAGGGGAAATTGTGAGTCTCAAAATGTCTGTGAGCAGGAACAAGCTGATGTTATTATTGGGACTGATCTGTTTGGAACAAAGTAAATCTGCAACTCTCTCTTTCCCCAAAGGTAAGTTACAAATGGACTCTATCACTACCTTTGTCTGAAGGAATAACCTTTGTTGGTATTGGACATCACAACACCACATTCCACATTCCTTTGGAAAAATAGGAGAAGCAAACATATTTTGGGGACCTCATTTTTTCTAGTACTTATTTTGAACTTCTCCCCTGCAATCAGCAGATAAAATGGAGTGAAACATTAGTGGAATGTGATTAATGTGTCCAAATAAGTAAATGATCTCAATTGTTTTCACTTTGTTTTGCAAAGTGATTTGAAATGTTCATTTATTTGAATACTTGATACAATCTCATCCTTTCATGGAGCAAATTCTGGAAATCAGCATGGGTTTGGGAGCATTTGTAATCCTATGGAAAAGTATCTTGCTGGGAAGTATTAAACCTGTTCACTGTAGTATGTTGCAAGTGGTCTGTCACCACTGCTCCCTTCCCTGCATTAATAAAAGCTGAAACAGTTCTTGGAAGGCTTCTTCATGGTCAGACTTGTGCCAGTCCTGAGAATCAATATGCTTTTTTTGTCTTTTATTCAGTGACTTCAAGATATTGTAGAACTTGTCTGAAGTATTTATGACTCATTTGACTGAAACAGTTAGAAAATAAGCTTTTGAACCAATGTCTGTTCTAAGTTCAGAATAAAAAAAAAATAATGTTATATCCATGCTAAAATTAAATGCAATAAAAACTTGTTGGTATCTGACCATTTTAGGCACCATAAACCATGATCTCATACTCAGGCTCATGGGTGGAGCAGAAGAAATTCTAAGGCAGGCTATGGCATCATCAACAAGTTAATTGTGCAACTTCTCTGCATGGAATTGTGCTAGATACTATATATGTGAATAGATATTTATAAGGTTAAATTCCTATCTTTGAGAAATCCATAGTGTAGCTTAGTTAAAAGATAATGGCATATGATAAATTTCATAAGACTACACAGAATGCTGTGAGGAGTATCAAATGGCCTGTGAGCTCAGAATCATAAGGGGGTTGCATTCTTGATAATCCAGTAGAAAGCTACCCTTGAATCCTAATCACCACATTGGAAAAGTAGATCTTAGGCCAGTTGGTGGCATAATGGTTAAGATCACTGGATCCCACTTTGTCAACTAGGTGGTTCAAGTCTTGGACCTGGTAGCCTGAAAAACATAGCAGGCAAAGAATGAAGCTACTGGGGCATGTTAACACACCTTGGGGTGCTTTCTTACTTTCCTCTCTTCCTCTTTCTCTCTCTGACCAGCAACACATCTTATAACAAAATTTTAAAAAAGAAAAGAAAGAGAAGAAGAAAAGTAGTCCTCTTTATGACACACCTGTCCTACATAACAAAAATTGAACTATACCTTGTACTGCAAAAAAACAACAAATCCCATCAATCTGTTTAAATCCATTCAATGATCTTTCTACATGCTCCATGTCTTACAATTTTTTTCTTGCTCAAGAATTTTCTATATCTCTAAGTCCTAGAAGGTAATTACTCAATGTTTGTCTTATCTTTTCCCCAGCTCTCAATTGTGGGCAGAGTCTAGTTAAGGTACGACCTTGGAATTATTTGAACATGTTCAGTCGCATTGTTGGGGGGAGCCAAGTGGAAAAGGGTTCCTATCCCTGGCAGGTGAGTCTCAGCGAACACACTCTGGGCGGTGGGCTGTTAGATTTCTCAGGACTGGATCTCCCAGAACTATTCTACTCATCAGTGTTCCATTCTGACTTCTGAGACTTCACAAGTGTATACAAAGACCCTCCTCCCATGCTCTCGTGATATGCACCACCCAAGTTCCAGAAAGTATGTGTTTAGAATAGCTACACGCCCTATTGACTTTCTTCACAAACTGGCAGTGCTATCCAAAAGTGTCAGTCCCTAAGGCAGAAATCCCATGTCGATAAGCTAAAACATTTTTGAATTGACCATTTAAAAGTAAATTGTGATTCAATAAGTATATTAAAAATATATTTATCTTGTTATAGTTACAGCAGACCAGAGCGTTCATCTGTAGGACCACTTTGTGATTGGGGTGTAAAGCTTATTCCAGTACTATCGAACCTCTCAGGGAGGTAGTCCTGACTCTTTAGTAGCTAATGTCTTAAGGATTCTTTGCCTCAATTTAATCTCATAGTCCTCCTATGCCTTAGAAATGCCTTCATGCCTCTGTTCCTAGCCCATGGTGTTTGCATTTTTGGTCTTTGAAAGTCTCCCATTTTATTTATTCTGGGGACCATGTTGTAGTCTTGCCTCTTAACTTTGCAAGTAAAGTGATCCTCTGTTTTTAATTCTCAAGACAGTAATATTAATTTTTTGTTTTGTTTTATTTTAAAGAAGTATTTGTTTCATTTCATTTATTATTATTACTATTTATTATTATTATTTTCAGTTTGACCAGAGAGAAAGAGACACAGAGAGAGATAGAAAAAGTAAGCTGCCAGATCCAGGACTCAAACTATGGTCAACCATGTGGGAGTCCAGTGCCTTAACCATCATGCCACCTGCCAGCTCCAACTTTTAAGCCAATAAATATTTTATAATTGTTAGTTTATTAAATTTACATTCAGTGGTTGACTGAATACCTGAGTCATTATCATTTAACCAAGTAATTAATTTTTTAAATTTGCCAGAGAGTATGAGTACTCACCAGAGAGAGAGAGAGAGAGAGAGAATGTGAGAGAGCACCCCAGGGGGAATGGTTACTGCAAAATCCCTTTTCCTTCATTCCTCCCTCCTGTTGAGATTTTGGGCATGCACCAGATATGTTTCTAAAGCTACTCAGTCCAGGACTTCAACCACAATCAGCCATGTGAATCCAGCTGCTTTGATGTCATGGCACAGGCTAGACCAACTAATTAAGAACTGATTGAATAGTTGATTGACCTGTTGGCTACTGACCAGTTGGTTGGTCAGTTCAGAAGTCCAAATTCAAATCATAGTAAAGATGACTCATCGGCTCTTACTTGCTTTTTGTTCTATTCTTAGCCTCTTTGGTACATTATGGGGTTTTTTTAATGCCTCTATATTATTTTTTTTAAATACCTGATTAAATATTTTTGTTCTAAAAGGGGAAAATTCTAATAAATTTCTCTTTTTATAATTCCAAAAATGTGAGTATATGTATTAGAAGTATTTAATTGTATACTGTAAGTTGTTTTAGAATTAAATTAAATGAAATACATGGGATAAACCAAAAACAGAAAGTATGTTAGAAAGGCAGAATAGGCTAAAAGAAGTTATAAGAGTCAGAGAGATAGTTAAGAATATGACAAAATGGTAGTTCCAAACCACTTTCCTTAGAGGCTTGGAGAAATTGAAACATGTGCTGAAAAGCTGCCAACTCTCACCTTGCCTTTCTCCCACACCTCTTCAACTGGTGTCCACTATATCTTATGCTCTTTTTCTTTCATTTACAAATACTGCTCATATTATTGGAGCAATAAGCCTGTAAAAATAAATAAAAATACCAACACTTCTAACTGCCAACTCTACTAAAACCCATACTGCTAATCATCTCATATTAACTACCTCTTATCCAGACCAAGTTTCTAGATAGCTCTTCTTTTTGAGCTGTAGTATAACAGTTTTACCCTTTCATAGTTTAAGACTCTTATTATTTATAAATAAGATATCTGCGTCTGTTTTTCAGAATATGCTCAGTCACCATGTTTGGGGGGATCCCAGGACATTGACTTTCTCTCATTTAAGGTCTTTGAATTCAGGTGTCTCTGAAGCAAGGACAGAAGCATATCTGTGGGGGAACCATCATCTCCCCACAGTGGGTGATCACAGCTGCTCACTGCGTTGCAAAAAGGTAGGGAATCTTCACATGTGGTTGGAGGTCAGATCACCCTTTCCTTTCCTTTGTAATCAGCAACAATAACTCTATTAAAACATGGACCTGTGAAATGAGCAAGTATCGCTTGATACAAATGGGGCTCCATAACATTGTCAGATCATACTTGTTATGGTTCGGGTAGTGGTTTGTCCTTCAAAGGTTCATGTGTTGGAACTTAGTTGTATTGTAATACTGTAAAAGTTAATACTGTAAAAGTTAATACTGTAAAAGTTAATACTTTTTACTGTATACTGTAAAAAACTTAAACCCTACATGATGTCCCAGTGTGAGCCCTTTGGATATGATGAGGTCATTAGAATGGGGTCCTTATAATTGAGCTCTGGTTGGTTTATAAGAGGGGAAAGGAGACCAGAACAGACAGAAACTTATGTACAGATGCTCTGCTCAAGATTTAAGACCCAGCCCCCACCATCTGTAATTTTTCCAGAAGTTGGCCCTGAATCTCAGACCTTCAAACTATGAGCTGAATAAAACTTTACTTCTTTATAAATCACCCAGTCTTAGGTATTTCTACTAGCAACACAATAATGGAAAAAGGACTTGACTTGATAGAAACCATACATTCACTGCATAAGTAAAATGGTTCATTTACATGAATAAAAGTTAATAAATAATGAGGCTATCAGGTAGCATGGTGGTTAAGGTGCTGGACATTCCCACATGACCAATCATGGTTCGAGTCCCGGACCTGGTGGCTTGCTTTCTCACTTTCCCTCTCTGGGTTTTTCTCTGGTCAAATTTAAAAACAATAATAATAAAAAGGAAAAGAAAAAGAATGAATAAATAAAATTAAATAATTCTTTTAAAAAAATAACACTTAAGTTTAAAAAAAAAAAGGCATCACAAAGATGGATTTGTGGAAGTTTTCTCAAATTTCCAAGAAAAAAAAAAACTTTCCCAGTTCATTACACATTTTAAGAAGTTCATAAAAGAAAATACAAGGAGCCCAGGAAATATAAAGTAGGCTCTTATGTCTTCCTTACTATTGATCCTTGTTGGCTACTGACCAGTTGGTTGGTCAGTTCAGAAGTCCAAATTCAAATCATAGTAAAGATGACTCATCGGCTCTTACTTGCTTTTTGTTCTATTCTTAGCCTCTTTGGTACATTATGGGGTTTTTTTAATGCCTCTATATTATTTTTTTTAAATACCTGATTAAATATTTTTGTTCTAAAAGGGGAAAATTCTAATAAATTTCTCTTTTTATAATTCCAAAAATGTGAGTATATGTATTAGAAGTATTTAATTGTATACTGTAAGTTGTTTTAGAATTAAATTAAATGAAATACATGGGATAAACCAAAAACAGAAAGTATGTTAGAAAGGCAGAATAGGCTAAAAGAAGTTATAAGAGTCAGAGAGATAGTTAAGAATATGACAAAATGGTAGTTCCAAACCACTTTCCTTAGAGGCTTGGAGAAATTGAAACATGTGCTGAAAAGCTGCCAACTCTCACCTTGCCTTTCTCCCACACCTCTTCAACTGGTGTCCACTATATCTTATGCTCTTTTTCTTTCATTTACAAATACTGCTCATATTATTGGAGCAATAAGCCTGTAAAAATAAATAAAAATACCAACACTTCTAACTGCCAACTCTACTAAAACCCATACTGCTAATCATCTCATATTAACTACCTCTTATCCAGACCAAGTTTCTAGATAGCTCTTCTTTTTGAGCTGTAGTATAACAGTTTTACCCTTTCATAGTTTAAGACTCTTATTATTTATAAATAAGATATCTGCGTCTGTTTTTCAGAATATGCTCAGTCACCATGTTTGGGGGGATCCCAGGACATTGACTTTCTCTCATTTAAGGTCTTTGAATTCAGGTGTCTCTGAAGCAAGGACAGAAGCATATCTGTGGGGGAACCATCATCTCCCCACAGTGGGTGATCACAGCTGCTCACTGCGTTGCAAAAAGGTAGGGAATCTTCACATGTGGTTGGAGGTCAGATCACCCTTTCCTTTCCTTTGTAATCAGCAACAATAACTCTATTAAAACATGGACCTGTGAAATGAGCAAGTATCGCTTGATACAAATGGGGCTCCATAACATTGTCAGATCATACTTGTTATGGTTCGGGTAGTGGTTTGTCCTTCAAAGGTTCATGTGTTGGAACTTAGTTGTATTGTAATACTGTAAAAGTTAATACTGTAAAAGTTAATACTGTAAAAGTTAATACTTTTTACTGTATACTGTAAAAAACTTAAACCCTACATGATGTCCCAGTGTGAGCCCTTTGGATATGATGAGGTCATTAGAATGGGGTCCTTATAATTGAGCTCTGGTTGGTTTATAAGAGGGGAAAGGAGACCAGAACAGACAGAAACTTATGTACAGATGCTCTGCTCAAGATTTAAGACCCAGCCCCCACCATCTGTAATTTTTCCAGAAGTTGGCCCTGAATCTCAGACCTTCAAACTATGAGCTGAATAAAACTTTACTTCTTTATAAATCACCCAGTCTTAGGTATTTCTACTAGCAACACAATAATGGAAAAAGGACTTGACTTGATAGAAACCATACATTCACTGCATAAGTAAAATGGTTCATTTACATGAATAAAAGTTAATAAATAATGAGGCTATCAGGTAGCATGGTGGTTAAGGTGCTGGACATTCCCACATGACCAATCATGGTTCGAGTCCCGGACCTGGTGGCTTGCTTTCTCACTTTCCCTCTCTGGGTTTTTCTCTGGTCAAATTTAAAAACAATAATAATAAAAAGGAAAAGAAAAAGAATGAATAAATAAAATTAAATAATTCTTTTAAAAAAATAACACTTAAGTTTAAAAAAAAAGGCATCACAAAGATGGATTTGTGGAAGTTTTCTCAAATTTCCAAGAAAAAAAAAAACTTTCCCAGTTCATTACACATTTTAAGAAGTTCATAAAAGAAAATACAAGGAGCCCAGGAAATATAAAGTAGGCTCTTATGTCTTCCTTACTATTGATCCTGCCTCTGTAAGAGTCAACCTAACAACTCCCATCCTCTGTGTACTTTCTTAGCTGACCCAAATGTTCAGTGCTTTTGTTTGGTATACTTGAGACTGTAATCAAGTTCATGTCCCTATCTTTGCCTTCTTTCACTTCGAGTCTGCAACATTCTCTGGATGCTTACTTAGTGCGAGATACAAAAGTGACTTACACATAATTCCTACCTTCAGTGAGTTGATAGTTTAAAAGAACAGTTAACTGATGATTCAATTGCAATGCGTCAGGAGGTAGGCTAAAGAGATGGTATGTATTGAATTAGGTATCTATGACAGCCAAGAGTAAGGGGAGTATTCAAAAAGAAAGTGATGCTCTTTTCAATTTTGTGTAAAAACATCACTTCTAGAAAAAAGGGTCCCAAAAGATGGCAAGTTCAAATTTCTTACTCTGTTTCAATGAAACCTACCAAGTTCCTGTCAGATAACATTGACCCAGGAAGATGATATTTTTCCCATGTCAGGTTTATCTCTGTTTTTGTGTTATGTTGCTCATAACAGAAATATATGAGCCTGGGTCATTTTCAAAGAGTAGAAGTTTATCGAATGCCTGGTTTTAGAGGTCTAAGATTAAGGAGTCACATTTAGTAAGGCTCTTCTTGCTGACAGGGACTCTCCACAGAGTCTTGAAAAAACAAGCATGGCTTGGAAAAAACAAGAGCGAGTGTGTATCTATCTATATGTTTCTGTATTTTGTTTCCTCTCCTTATGAACCCACTGCGATTCAATCATGGGGCTCCATCTTGATGAGCTAATCATCTCACAAAGGCCCCATCTTTTGACACCACAGTTGAAGTAAGTCTCATCCTCTTAATGCTGCCACAATAGGAAGTAAATCTCAAAACATGAATTTGAGGAGGACACAATATCTAAATTACAAGTGTGAAGAAGGTAAGAAGATTCCAACTCTCCATTGTCACTATCAGTCCCAAGTGCACTACTTTATGGGACATTAGAGTTATGGTGCCAATCATCAGTGTATATTATGTATGAGATCTCTGACTTTGAATTACTGGAAATTATAAATCATTCACAGAGTATCTTACTGGTATTATGGTTAGACCAAGCTTCTGGAGTAGTTGAATAAAGTCTCCTATAGCTTTAGTCTTGACTTATAATATAGAAGCATCTCCAGACATTTACGAATAATTTTTCAAAGTGTTAACTTTATCATATCATTTGCTCCATATGAGATCATTCTTTGCCACTTCTCCACTGGAACAGCAAATCTCTGCATTTTTTTTTCTAATAGTGTTCTAGTCATCCTCACATTCTCTGCTCAGCAGTCTTACATTCCACAGTATCCACTCACAGCATTTTGAAGAGTTGTCAGTCATTAGAACTGTACTCCGAAGTTCAGTGAAATCCATTTCTTTTATTATTTTCTCTTCATAGAAATATTGCAGCAACTTTGAACATTACTGCTGGAGAACATGACTTGAGCCAGACAGAGCCAGGAGAGCAAACCTTCACCACTGAAACTCTCATCATACACCCACATTTCTCCACCAAGAAGCCCATGGACTATGATATTGCCCTCTTGAAGATAGCTGGAGTCTTCCAATTTGGTAAACATTGAAATTTGCCTTGAATCGTGTACACCATATTCTTCATAAACTCTTTCTCGTAGTATGTTTCCTGCAATGTATGCTATGTAGTATGTGCTAAGTTGTTCTGAGTGATGTCATTCAAGACAAGGATTAGGGCTGGAGCTTCCCCTTATCTAATAGCCATTGCTTGTGCTTCTGGACATAGAATTAGGTAGTTAGGAAAGGATGTTTCTTTGTCTGACAAGCAACTCCTGGAGATGTCACATAGAGACAGAACAAGTCCTACAAGGTCTCTGGGGCAGCACCTAACAGGTAGTTGATGAGTGGCTTATGATATCCTCTTGTCCATGAAAAACAAACCTTGCCTTGCTCTTTTCTTCAGGCCAGTTTGTGGGGCCCATATGTCTTCCAGAGCCTGGGGAGCGATTTGAGGCTGGATTTATTTGCACAGCTGCAGGCTGGGGCCGCTTGACTGAAGGTAAGACCTCCCATGCCACTCTTAATTAGAGGTCAAAAATTTCCTGGTCGGTAATTGGAAAATATAAATTATAATCTGTTTTTTTTTTTAAAAAAAAAAAAAACAATCTGCAAATAATTTTACAGGTAGAGACTAACACATTGAGCTTAGAAATTTTGGTCTTTCCAAAAGACATGATGTGAATGGGGCATCTTCAGCTCAGAAACAGTGAAAACATGCCTTGCTGAGACTTCTGTCTCTATGTTTTCCAGATGGTGAATTCCCTCAAGTCTTGCAGGAAGTAAACCTGCCTATTTTGACCCAGGAGGAATGTGTGGCAGCTCTGTTAACCCTAAAGAGGCCCATCAGAGGGAATACCTTTCTCTGCACAGGTTTCCCCAATGGAGGGAAAGATGCATGTCAGGTAGGCTGAAGCATCCAAACTAACAGGCCCTAGACAGCTTCTCCCATCTTTGTTATCAGGTGAGAGGCTTAAAGAAAGTTGATTCCAGGTAAGACTGGAATCTGGAAAGAACCCAGGGAGGTCAAGTCAAAATCGGATAGTTAAACAATCTGTTTTTAGCAGACTGTAAACCCAGAGGAGTTCTGATTTTCCCAAAAGACTAAATAATAGACACAATATCAAGAATGAGCACAGGGTTCTCCCATCCCTGAAAGGTGGCTGTACTCTTTCCTATTTAGAGGTTTCCAGTTTGTGGATATTGGGAACTTTACCTTCTCCATGTTCTTCCTCCTGACCAAGCACTGTGGCCCTGCTGACCAAGACCTGAGGTCAGTTTTACCTCTGGGTAGAACTTCTTTATGTCCATAGGCTGAATAGGGTGGAGAAGAAAGCCCGATGTTTTGATGAAAGCCTAGGATGAGAAGGTGACATTGATGAACTTCAATTGCATTTGGGGATACATAGGAATTATGCTTGGCTGTTCTCCCAGGCCTGAGTCTAATTTATTACAAGTGAAGAAATGTCATTGATCCTCATCTATATAGAATCCTTATAAGAGAAAGCAAGCACTTTGGGTTATAGGAACTGGGCATGTTGATAACAGAGGCCTTTTTCCCCTGCAGGGAGATTCAGGAGGTTCACTCATGTGTCGGAATAAGAAAGGGTCCTGGACCCTGGCTGGCGTGACTTCCTGGGGCTTAGGCTGTGGTCGAGGCTGGAGAAATAATGGGAAGGAAGATGATCAAGGATCCCCTGGTATCTTCACAGATCTTAGTAAAGTGCTTCCCTGGATCCACAAACACATCCAAACTGGTAACAAAGCACTCAAACAAGGTTAAGAAATTGCCATCTGTTAGAGTCGGGGACAGCATTAGCAGAGTCTGGGCAATGAAGGACCACCCCACAGATGGGCTCTATTCCTGTTATCAGTATAGCATGCATGAATTGTTAAACACACTAGACCTAAAACAAGAGTAAAATATAGTATGTGGTACTAGATGCAAATATTCGATGGAAAAAATTAATCTAGCCATCCTAAATTTTGTCAAATTTGCCTTTCATTGAAACTATCTCAGCTGATGCTGTTTCCATCACTTCTCAACTCTTCTAGAAAGGTTCTGCAAGCTATAGCACAGATCAGTAGTTAACAACTAGGACCAATTTTGTCTGCCAGGGGACAATATCAAGAAACATTCTGGTAGTCACAACTGGGGGTGGGCGGACCCACTGGTACTTGATGAGTAGGGGTTATAGATGCTGCTATGCATCCTACAATGCACAGAACAGCCCACCACAATCAAGAATGATCCACCTAAAGTATGAATAGGGCTGAGGGTGAGAAGCCCTGGCATAGATCCAAACTATAGTAAGTCTGTTTACACATTTCTACTAGATAAACCAGTGAGTTCACTGCAACTTCAATTCTGCCTCTATATCCAGCAGTTAAGAATTGGCTTCCAGCCTCAAAGGGAATTTTGTCCTTTCCCAGAGGTGCTGATTCCAATTAGTTCGGTAGGAGCTTGAGTTTGTTTTTGAGTGTATGCTGCAGTGGCAGGTATCTGAGTCTTCAGTTCAAGTTGGAACTACCCCGGCAATTCTTTTGTGATTATGGGAAAAGTTATTTTCAACTCTAGCCTTCATTTTTATGTAATAAGACCTCTTCCTACTCTTTGTAACCTTCAAGTTAATTATTATCTGCCTCTTATTTAGCACACTAAATAAAGAGAGTAATTTCCTTAAAATAACAGGAACCCTTTCCTGCTTTGTCAATTCATCCCTTTTGTTCTTTCTGTAGATTAGATTTTCATTCATTGCATATTAACTTTAAAATCACTGTGCTTTTTATCCAAGATATGCTAACTTCTCAAAATATTGTTCAAGGTACAAACTTAGAGTTATATCTTTCTTTTTCTTTCTCAGGGAATCAGGGTTTTTTGGGAAAGAGCTCCACAGGTGGGTATTCCTTACAGCCTGCTCTGCAAGGAGCATGAATTCATATCTACCATTTCCGAGTATCACTTCCCTTTCTAACCAAAAGTCTTCCTCTATAAGAACGTTCCATGATCACCAGGTATAAAACAACCAGTTGAAGCACCAATAGCCATTCCCTGCCAGCCAGGGCCAGCCAGGGCCAGCTCATGCCCAGCAGGAGCCCCGGATGCCTTCCCATTTTGCTGCTTGTCAGCTAGGGATTCCATCTCAGTTCAGCAAACATTTGCCAAACCCTAGCTTTGAATCAGAAACTCCAGGGAAGAGGGGAAGCAATGAAGATGTGGTCAATAAGCCACATACGTTGCCCTAAAAGTGTCACTACCTGTACAGGCAACTTCTATCCCATGTTACATTGCAATTCTTGAGTGAATTCGCTTGGTGACTCTAGACACGGGAGAAGATCGTGACCTCAATTTTCTCATCCATTAAGAAAAGAGTTTGAACCACCTGGTCTCTAAAGCAACTTTAGATCAAATCCTCAGTGGTTTTCAAGCCTGTGGAACTATCTACAAAGAGCAATATTGAAAAGGAGTACCCTGAAATCTCATAGGAGTAAGAAGTTGCTTCTAGCTGAAAATAAATTAACAAATAAATAAATAGAGGAGAGTCTGGAGCATAGACATCTTTTAAGCTGACCCTTGATGGATGAGTGTGATTTTGTCCAGTGGAAATGGGATATGGGTAACAAAAAATATTCTGTCTTGAGGAGTCATCCTTATCAAAAAATAGTTATTAAAGGATGGATGTAGGAAAAGGTAGGCTATAACAGAGATCAGTTATCTAAAGCAGGTGAAGTGTAAGAGTAGGATAGAGTTTTAAGAGGGAGAAGACTAGAAGGATAACTTGAAGGACCAATGATGAAACTTCATTTATCTCTTTTTTTTGGAGGGGGGGGCTTGAGAGTATGTGCATTCACAAGAGAGAGACATAAAAACAGAGAGCAAGGGAAAAAAGAAAGCACTCCCAAGGGGAATTGTCATGGCACAATCCCTTCTCCTCCATCTCTCCTTCCTTTCAGGATTTTGGACATGAACACACACATGCTTGGTGTGTTTCTTAGGTTACCAGGTCAAGCACTCAAACCTGTTGGTCAGCCATGTAAGATCCGGCTTCCTTAACTACCAGTCTATGGAGTTGGCCTGAAATTATGGACATTTTAAATGTCAGTCAAAAAAAGTTTAGATTTCATTGAGTAATAAGAAGTTGATTAATTAAATAGATTAGAAATATACTTTAAAGATGTAAAGACAGCATGTAGGTGATAGATTAAGGAAACAGAATTCAAGATAAACTCATGAAATGTTGTATTAGTTCAAGAGATCAGAAATAAATGCTTAAGTCAAAGCAATGGCCAGAAAATAAAAAGAAGAAAATACAAAGAAGAAAATTAGGACTTTGTAGCCTATTAGACAAAGGATAGTGAGGGGGGAATAAAGGATAATGCCAAAGTTTTGAGCATACGAGACTAAGGAAAGGCCACTCAAAAGTATAAAATCAGAAATGGATGCAGTTTGACCCAGAAGAATTTCATTTGTAGCATGTGAAGTTTCAGGGGCACGGTCTGGTAGATCATTATAAAATCAGTTCTAAAGTTCAGAAAAGTAGAAATAATGGCTCACATAGAGGGAGAAGATGAGAACTAAGGATAGCTCTTGGGAAATACCTGTGTTTACAGAATGAAGTTATGGAGCCAAGGAAAAGAGGAGTTCAGGAAAAAAAAAAAAAGTCATAGAGGTGGGATCACCAAATGGCATAATGGTTATGTCACTGGACTCCCATGTAGTTGACTGAGGTTCAAGTCCCAGAGCCAGGGGCTTTAAACTCACGCCAGACATGTGTAAGAGCATGTCCAAAAAACCAGGAGGAGCATGGAGGAGAAGAGATTGCAATGTGGCCATTCCCTTGAGGGGTGATTTCTTGTTTTCTATCTCTCTGTCTCTCTGGAGAGTGCGCATACCTTATAGCAAAAATCTCTCTCAAAAAGAAAAAAAAAAAAAGTATAGAGGTTAGGCAGCATTTGAAAGGACCAAAAAAGAGTAAGTCTTCATAGAAGCCAAGATCAGAAAAAGACAGATTCGTGGAAGAGTACATGAAGAACCAGGAGGTTTTGGAGTCTGCACAGCTCAGGAAAGAGGAGGCCATGTGGCCAGACTTTGCTGTTAGCCTCAATTCTCCTCTTTCTATCCCAGCCTCATGCAGTGAGCAGGATGGTGTAGTCATCAGGCCTGAGAGGGAGCCGCACTTCCGAGAAAGCCTCTATTATGAGAGCAAGCAGTGAGTCCCCTTTGCCCCCATTCTCCTCCTCCTTACTCCCACCTCCAGTCTGACTGCGCCCGTTAATGGGACTTTAATAGTGACTTTCCGTCTAGAAATAACACCCTCTCAATGTATCTGCCTGCAGTCTGTGTGTCTGGACCCTGCTGGTACCAGAGGAAATGCATCTGTTGCTCAGTTTTTCCCGCTTGGATGTAGAATCTTGTCATCATAATTACCTGTCAATATATTCTCTAGAAGACAGACTCGTTGGTGAGTGGATTTTTCACATTATCAAATGGAAAGCAGTACTGAGTGGGCTGAGACCTGGTTGCTGCATATCTGGCATTGAACCATCTGAAATGCCACACTTCCTGTCTCCAGTTTTGAGACTCATGATTGGGATTGACAAAGAACCTGATCCAAGGTCACATGATTGTTTCAAGGCCACAGTGTGTTTTACTTACTGCATTCGCTTCCATCCAGCAAAGCTTCTCAGATCCATTTGCCAGTTCTGGAGCCTTAAGAGTGAAATCTAGGGAACCAGCAGTCAGCGTAATGGCTATGTCGCTGGACTCCCACGTAGTCGACCGCGGTTCGCGTCCCGGACCCGGTGGCTTAAAACTCACGCCAGGCGTGTGTGCATGCGTGCCCAAGATCCCGAGAGGAGAATGTAGGAGAAGGGATTGCGGCGTGACCATCCCCCCTGGGGGGTGATTTCTCGCTTTCTGTCTCTATGTCTCTCTTTCTCTGTCTTTCTGGCGAGCGCACGCGCCCTATAGCGAAAATCTCTCCAAAAAAAAAAGAGTGAAATCTAGACATACTACGGACCTGTCAGGGCTCCTCAGGCAGAATACTTCTTTCTAGGTGTGAAATGACTTTCACTGCCCTCATCAAACACCAATAGATAACCATGAGGAGGAGCAAAAGTTACTTACAGGAGAAACGGAAATGCTGTGCTGTTTCTGTGGTTCTCAGCTGGAGGTGGTTGTGGCCCCAGGCAGCCATTTGGCAATATTTTGAAAGCATTTATGGTTGTTACAGCTGGAGGGAGTATTACTGGCATTCAGTTTAGTTGTTACTGCTAAAGAAAGTGTTAATGGTAAAAAAAAAAAATAGCAGGGCTGCTACTAAACACCCTACAAAAGGCACTGGACAGCAGAAATCCAGAGAATGTTCCAGTCCAACGTGTCAATAGTGGTAAGGCTGAGAAACTCCAGGTTAGACAACCCTGAGGTGTCATGGCAAGTTCATTTCTCCTTACATCGTTTAACAAGTGCTGTTTTCCAGATTCCAGACAATCTTCTTTCTCATCTTGCAGGAAAATTCTGTGGGGAAAGCCTCGCTTCATCCGTTTTGATTGGTTCCAATGCTATACGGCTGAAGTTCTTCTCCGATGCCACAGATTATGCTGCTGGGTTTAATCTCACCTATAAAGCTCTTAAACCAAATTACCTTCCTGGTAAAAATAATTTACTTTCATCACACACTGTTCAGGCCTTTTGTAGAAGTGTAGGCCCCTTAGGAGTCAGATGAGGGGCAGAGAGCCCCCTCCCAAGACCCACTGCCTCCATAGGGGTGAGGAACACAAAGCTAGCCAGAAAGCAGGGCGTGATATCTCCTTCAACACCTCTCATAACATATTTATCATCCACCCAAGTGAGTTGAGAGGACCTGAAGAGTTCAGAAAACTGATACACAAACCTCTTCCTTCTTAAAGGTTCATTCTGAACACTCAGTTCATGCATCATTTGGGGGAGACGGGAGGGAGAACAATGAGATTCCTCTTTATGGGGGGTGTTGCCTTCTTCCTTCTTGTGTTTCAGATTCGGGTTGTGGTTCCTTAATTATCCTTTTTGAAGAAGGAAACATACAGAGTCTTCACTATCCTGAAGAGTACAATGATATGGCTAGCTGTAATTGGATTTTTCAAGCCCCTAAATATCACCTAATTAAGGTATTGATTGTGGCTACCTTTACTCAGCAATAGTATATACACAGAAGAACTAGCATAAGCATCATGAAGGCATAGTTTTTATTTGTTTTATTTTTAAAGCAGATAAGAACAAATTCAGCCAAGTGCCGCTGGGATGAGTGTATTTTTAGTGCCAAGTATCTAGTACCTGGCACACACGCTTTCAATAAATACTTGTTAAATAATGAACAGCCTGTTTTCTCAGGCGACTGCCCATTTTTACCGCTAGATGGCACTTGCATCCTTCATTTTTTGTTTTAAAAAAATGAAAAAAGTGTTGCCTTACTCTTTGTACTTGGTCACTTTTTGACAATCTCTAGTCCCTTCTAGAAACAAGCATTTCTCCCTTCTTAATTCAACTATTAATAAAACACTAGAGAAGTAATGGCTAAGAAAAGTCAACGACAGGCCAAAAATCATGAAGCCTTCCTAACAGAGGGAATAGAGCAAGCAAAAAGAAACCAGTGTAGAAAGGTTTCCGGAAATCACCAGTTTAAGAGTAATAAGGTGGGGGCTAGCAGTTGGCGTGGTGGTTAAGGGTGCTGGACTCCCACATGGTCTACCATGGTTCAAGTCCCAGACCTGGCAACTTGCTTTCTTATCCACCCCCTTTCTCTGTCCTTCTCTGGTCAAATAAAATTAATTAATTAATTTCTTAAAAGAGTAATAAGGTAAACTTAGGAGCAGGAGTGGAATGCAAGATTGAAGAGATGTCTGAAGACTGCAGAATGTCAGGATTAGAGTTTATTCCACTTTGGAGTAGTAGTGTTTGTGGCCATTTTTTGTTTGCTTGTCCATTAAACACAGTGGACCATCTGCAGAGACATCACCAAGTAGCTGAAGGTAAGATTGCAGTCAGAGTGAGACAGATTAGGCATTTATTTACAAGTCTTTCTCTTAAAGTAATAGCTCAAAGCAAGAGAGTATATGAAGGAGAGAAGGGAGAATAGAAAATAAAGGGGGAGGGGTAGGTAGGGGCAGACAAGATCTCACATTTTTCATATATTTGAGATGGAAAAAGGCAAAGATCTGAGAATCAGGGAGCAAATCAAATTGATATAGTCTTAGGACAGTCCGGAGGAAAGAGCTTTTCATTCAAAATACAACAGAAAACAAACCAACTAACCAATGTGACCAGTAGTTTAGATTTACTACTCAAGTTGAGAGTTTAAAGAGAATTAGAATGAGGATTAGGTGTCCAGTCCTCACTCTATTCCTTAATACAAAGACAGAGTAATTGAATTGGACAACTGAACAGTTGAGAACAGCTGGGATGGGTGGTGTCTGAAATACCATGCTGTCAGATGTTAGGAGCAGAAATAAGATCTTTCATAAGATCTGTAAAATTCTCTGTGTCTCTTGGTAAGAACACACTTCACTGAATTCTTACCGATTAAGATTCAAACTCCTGGGACCAGCATATGGCGTAATGGTTACAACACTGGACTCCCACATGGCCAACCACAGTTTGAGTCCTAGACCCAGTGCCCCGCCGCGTGTGTGTGTGTGTGTGTGTGTGTGTGTGTGTGTGCAAAATCCTGAGAGGAGAATGGAGGAGAAGGGATTGCGGCCTGGCCATCCCCTCTAAGAGATGATTTCTCATATTCTGTGGCTCTATCTTTCTCTGTCTCTCCAGCAAAAATACACACCCTATAGCAAAAATCTCTCTTAAAAATAAATAAATAAAGATCCAAACTCCTGCTTCATCGGGTCTATCTCCCACCATACCTCACTTCAAACTCAGCTGACCAGGGCTTCCCAAACAACTCTACTGTTTCCTTGCTGCTCCTTCACATTGTTCCCTGTGCCAAGGTACTTCCCCTCCCTCTGCCTCACATAAAACAAGTACCCCATACAGAAAATAATACAAATACATAAAAATAAATACATGAAGATAGTCACTACCACATTTTTAAGACAGCAGAAAACAGGGAACTCTCCAGGATAGAGTTAAATGGCATGATAGAAACTATGCAAATAAGTCTGTTTCATTTTTTCCTTGGTAAACCCATGTTGGTCCCACATGACCCTCTTCCCTTTCTAGGGCATCACTTATCATATGTTTAGTAATCTATGAGAGAATTTGGCTGAGGTTTATTTAAGCTTAGTATCCAAAATCAATTCTCTCTAACCCATACCGGGGTTTCCATTTTCATGCACATCCATAAATTCTCGAGGTTCACTGTGTTGTCTCTGAGACCACCTTTACCCATAAGCGCTTTCAGTAGCTTAGACAATGCTGCGTTTACATCAGTGCTTAGATGTACCCGTATTTATGCTGTATCACAGCTTGTCAGTCAGGCTTGGAGATTTAACGGCCACAGGACAGAACAGGTAGAAGTAAGAGCCAGAAATAACCTGCCAGATGGAGAGACACAGTCCTCAAGGGGTGCAGCTGCCTTAGTCTTGGTTCAGGACTAGATGTCAGGAGCCAGAGAAGCAGCTGTGGTGTGTCCCTGCAATGTTGTGGATCCAGGCTAGCATAACCCAGTCTAGTTGTTTTCAATTAAAACACACACACACACACACACATATATATATATCCTTAAGGTGGTCTTCTGTTCTCTTGGGGGTGCTAGGAAGCTCAAATATGTGTACATTTTCTTCCCATTAAATTCACCCCAAATTTGTAGCTGAGTTATTTCAGAAAATTTGAGAACGTATGACATAGCTTCTTTTCCTAAGTAATTTAATTCACTCATAAATTTCCCCCTAACTTGCCCATCTAAGGTTTTTCTTCAGAGCAAGCTGAACCATCCAAATTCTTCCCGTTAATTAACATCAGGTCATTCATTTGTATCATTCACTTTGGATGTAACTTTACGTCTTCTCAGCTTTCATTTCAGAGTCTGGAAATAGAAGAAAATGGAGATTGCTCTTCTGACTACGTGACAGTGCACAGCGATGTAGAAAGGAGGGATGAAATAGGTGTGTGTCTCCCTGGAGCCTCAGCTTCCTCTGGTTTGCATTAGGCCCCAGTCTTGAGATGGAAATGAAAAGGATTTAGCCTAATTTTCCTTCATTCCCCTGCACCCCCTACATTCCTCCCTATGCTTTTATGACCACTCCCATTTCTACATTAGGGGCAGAAAAAGAGAGGAATAATCAAAGAACCACATGAACAGAAAAAGTGAAAGTCCCACAGAGAATAAGAGTCCGAAGGGAAAGTTCCATTGAAATGGGCCCTGTAGCTAGATCCAATCCCCTTAGTGACATTTCCAGTGAGAATGTTGGGGAGTGAAAAGAGAATTGGAATGTCAATGGGGTTAAACAAATATATAAAAGACAAAAAATGCCTGTTTTGAAAATGAATTTTGACAATCATCAGAAAAAGCTTATTTCTCAATGCTTATCTAAAAAAAATAACATTTTTTTTCCATCCAATGCCACATCTATTTCTGGGCCCTTGACAACATCCTGCCTGGGCTGACTTCAATCAGCTCGTCTGTGTGGCTATGCGGTCCCCAGCCCTGTGCTGAGCTCTCTCATGCTTATCTAAAAAAAATAACATTTTTTTTTCCATCCAATGCCACATCTATTTCTGGGCCCTTGACAACATCCTGCCTGGGCTGACTTCAATCAGCTCGTCTGTGTGGCTATGCGGTCCCCAGCCCTGTGCTGAGCTCCTCCAGTGTCATGCTCATCAGCTTCCAATCTGATGAAAATGGGACCTACAGAGGCTTTCAGGCCACAGTCTCTTTCATTCCTAAGGCAGGTAAGAAGATAGTGGCACCAATTCTTTGAGTCTCAATTCTAATCCTCATAATGTGGTAACTCAGGGCAGCCTTTAGAGCCCAACACAGTCAGTTCTCATTTTTGCAGAGTAAGCCAATACTGACACTTCACTGCTAGGAAATATACAGGATTATATTATATATAGGGAAATACACGGAGCGATGCATTATCTGCAAGTTCAGGTATGTTTTCATCCAGCAATTAGTACATAACCCTGTTTTGTGTGTGTTTCTGTTTAAAGACACCTTAGCTAATCAACACCATATTGTTGATTCAGTTATATCAAACTTATCATGAACTGCACTGTAACTCATGTCCGAATGACACATATCTAACATGTTATTTTCTGGGTAACATGCATCACACCTTCTTACACTTAGAGACACAAGATGGCACTTTAGCTCTGTGCTTGGGGGCTGTTTCACACTGAGATCACCAACAAACACAAAAACGCAAAACACATGACACTGAATAAATCACAAGATGGACACATGGATATTAGGAGAGTTGAGATAAGAAAGCAGAATGCTGCTTTGTTCCACCTCTGGGAACTTCATGTTCCACAACTAGAAACATGCATGTCCAGTGACAAATTTTTTGTCATGAATAACCATGAATGCTGGGGTCTGACTTAAGATGGTTTAACTTACTACTTTGCAACTTTACTATGCAAAAGCAGCAGGCATTCAGTAAAAACTGTATTTTAAGTATCCATATAACCCATCTGTTCCTCACTTTCAGTACAGTGTTCAATAAATTGCATGAGATAGTCAACACTTTATTATAAAATAGGCTTAGTGTCAGTGTGTGTAAGGTAGGCTAGGCTCTGATGTTGAGTAGGTTATGTGTGTTATGTGCATTTTTGATTTAGGATATTTTCAACTTATGGTGAGTTTATTGGCTGTAAACCTATCATAAGCTGAAGAAAATCTGTTTTGCTTTTGAGGTTACAAATAAGTTTGAGTGAGCAGGTAAATTCACATATATAGAATCCATGAAGATTGAAGATTGACTATTTCTGAATCTTGGCCTATTCTTAATAGGTGTGTGATCTTAAGAAAACATTACCCAAAATTCATTTTTTTTAACCTTACAAGGGGAGAATAATGCATGCCTAATAAGAATGTAGTAGTGATTAAATCAGGTAAGATACACTTGGCCATGAGCAAGTGTGTGACATTTAACAGTGGTGCAGAAATGTGAAATAGCTTCACCATTCTCCAAACCCTGGACACCTGAACTTCTCGGTTTCCTTCAAAGTTCTTACATCAGTGAACCCCCTGTTACACTCACAAAGGCAGTTATCTGTTTCCCAAGTCATTCATTCTTGTTAGGCATGAAGCAGCTTCTGTGGCAATGCCAAGTTATAAGTGAAAATACTGGGACCAGAAAGTGGCATGGTGGTTCAGGGCATTGGACTCTCACATGGTCAATCACGGTTCGAATCCCAGATCTGGTGGTTTGTGAGTCCTGGACCTGGTAGCTTGCTTGCTCCAATCTCTCTCTCTCTCTCTCTCTCTCTCTCTCTCTCTCTCTCTCTCTCATAAAATTAGAATAAATAAGTGAATAAGTAAAATAAAGTTAAAAAAATACTTCCTGTCTCAGCCGAAATACCCTCACAATCCAGCTAGCTGAGGCATCCCAAAATTCTAACACTGTCTATACAATAATTTTTTTGGGTAATCCCTCAACCCTGGCCTTCTTTGTGCAAGCTGAACAATTATATTGTGCTTACACCTAGATGTAAACATCTCCATACCACAGGATGAGTCAGTATTGCTGGAGACATGGAATGTGCCACCTGGAGAAACCAATGCTTCTGGTAAACTGTTCCAGGGATTGTGACTAAGTGATGCACACTGATCAGATTGTTCAGAGAAAGAGATGCTACAGGTTGAATTGTCTTCTCAAAAAATATATTGAAGTTTCCACCTCCAATACCCTAGAATGTGACCTTATTTGGAGATAAGGTCTCTACAGAGTGAATCAAGTTAAAATAAGGTCATTAGATTGCACCCTAATCCAGTAATGACTGGTGTCCTTACACAAAGGGGGAATTTGGATGCAGAGAAGGACTCATTCATGGGAGTAACACCACGTAAAAGGAAGGCACAGATCAGAGTGATGCATTATCTGCAAGTCAAGGAGCACCAACAATTGCCAGTAAACCACCAGAAGCTGTAGAGAGGCATGGGACAGCCCTCAGAAGAAACCAACCCTGCCCACATCTAGATCTTGGACTTTGAGCCTCCACAACTATGAGACAATAAATTCTGTTGTTCTAAACCACCCAGTTTGTGGTATTTTATTTAGCAGCCCTAGAAACTAATATACCAGAATTGACTTACACAGTCGTGGGAGATGACCAAGTATATATATCCACAGTGCAGGCACTCAAAAAGGTAACATCACTGGAATTCCACAAGCCTGGGCTGAAGTTCCTCTCTGAAGACAGGATTTCTTCTCTCTTTCAGAGAAGCCTCAACTCTGCTTTGAAGGCCTTTCCATCAATCAAGTCAGACCCAGTGAGATTATCCAGGATGCTCTTCCTTACCTAGAGCCAACTGTTTAGGGACTTTACATCTGCAAAACCCCTTCACATCAATACCTAGATTAGTGTCTGATTATGGGCTATCACCTAGCCAAGTTGTCAAATCAAAAAGTCATCACACAAAGCTGTATGAGATGTGATCACTGTCCCTCTTGCTCAAAGAAACACTGAAATACTTCCAGACACAGTAATCAAAATTCCCTTCTTAAGCAACTCATTTGGTAAGAATGGGAAATTGTGTATCAAATTGTGGTCTGACTTACAAGATTCCCCCCCCCCGAAAAATTGTAAGCATACCTCTGTGTTTGAATGCCAGTAAGTGCTGAGAAGTGTTAAGCTTACCCCTTTTCCTTGTTTTCTCCATGACATCTATTGGCATGTATGTGGAATTTCTGTTCCAGGTGGAAAATATAGCAGTGAGGGGAACCAGCAGAAGATGGGAGTAAGGAAACTTAGTTTTCCATATAGATAGATTGTCAAGAAAAAAGTCAAATGCCTTATTAGTTTTTCAATTTTACAAATTTCCTGACATATACAATGCAGAAAAATATGAAGTATGGAGAGTGAATATTCCTTTTTTTTTAAATGGTCAGAGGATACATGCACTTGCAAGAGAGACAGGAGATGTCTCTGTGATGTCTGAGAGAGAGATAGTGAGAGGGAAAAAGCACTCCCCAATGGGATGTGGTCATGCTACAATCCCTTCTCCATTTCTCCATCCTGTTAGGATTTGGGGCATACAGGTACACACATCTGGTGTATTTTTCAAGCAACATTGGCTGGGATTTATTTGAACCATGATAGGCTATGTGGGATCTGGCTCCTTTAACCACTGAGCTACAAAGCTGGCCTGAATATTCCTTTTAATAAGAAGGTATGGAAGAAGTCTGATCCTTCTGTTCTGGCTTTTCTGACAATGACAAAGAACACAAAAAAAAAAAAGAAAGAAAAAACAAGAAAGAACTGAAATAATTAATAATTTCTGGATGAGATGACCAGAAAACTGGCCTTTAATTTTGGCCCACAAGGATAAGTGAGATGTCAACATTATCCTATGCTAGTGGGGAGCCCTGGGATGGTTCTGATCAGGGGACTGACCTGATCAAAGCAGCACTTTTTGGTGATTAATTTGGAAGTATAAGAAGGATAGGCAAAGATTAACTGCAGGGAAGTCTAGGTTAGCAATATGGGGAACCCAAATTCTTAATATTGACCCATAAAGGTAGAAAAAGAATCCAAGATATACTGTGAATATTGGATCTAAAGTAATTGTAGACTGGATAGTTAATAACAAAAAAAGAAGGGGAAGTCGAACGTGAGTTTGATCTTTACTCCTGGGTGAAACATCCACTTCCAGTAATGCAGACTTTTTTCTCTCTCTCAAATACAACCACTAATTCTCAGTATTCCCAGATGTCTACTAGAAAGCTCTTCCCAAGAAAGATACTTAGAGATTGCAATATGGGCTTGATGATGAGGAGAATCCATGGGTAATAAAGAAAAATCTATCTCCTTGGCCCTTTCCAGTTGGCCTCTGCAAAGCCACTCTCTCCCCTGCTTCTTTTCCTGCTCAGTTTCTTTCTGGATTGTGAGAAGCAAGGAGGCCATAGTCCACCCCCGGTCATAGTAGGTCAGCCTGAAGATCCCCACTGAGCATCTCTGAGGAGAAGCCATCATCCCAAAGACTTTGGTGGTCACTGTTATTCATCTTCATCAGTAACCATATCTGGGGAATGGAATGTGGTGGGATTGGTAGTTTAAGGTGAATGTAAACAATCCTTCAGATTCCTCTTCTGTTACCCATCAAGGTCTGCTGTGAATGACCACTCATTACCCCATTCTTACTACTCTGAGCAATCCTTGCATTTCCTGAGTGCTCGGGAAGGCTCTATCCTATTATACTGTATTTCTAGTATATTCTAATTAAGCATGAGGCTGACTGTTGGATAGAAACATATTTATTTTATCCTATAACTCTACCCAGGATTTTTTAAAATCAGAAATTAATACTGAATTTTGTGAAAAACTTTTTAGCATCTATTGAAATGATGAGATAATTTTTCCTGTGATTTATTAATATGTTAAATCTATGCTAAAAATATTGCCCAATATTACTACTCTCTGAAATGAATCCCACTTAAACATGGTGCATTCATCTTTCAATATACTGCTGTGTTCTGTTTACTAATATTTGACTTAGATTTTCACATCAACATCCATAATTGAAATTTACTTATTAAAGCAGACATTCTCCCAGTATTATCTGGGGATCTCTGAGAGCCTTTCATAGGGTCTGTGTAGTCAAAACTATCTTCATAAAACACTAAAGCATTTTTCTCCCTTTTTATTCTCATTCTCTAGAGAGTATACAGTAGAGTTTCCCAGAGGCTATATGACATGTGATATCTTTTTTTTTTAGAGGATTTTGCTAGAGGGTACATGAGCTCACCAGAAAGACAGAGAGAGATGGAGAGAAGAGTGAGAAACCCCCCCCCCAGGAGGGTTGGCCACTCTGCAATCCCTTCTCCTCCATTCTCCTCTCGGGATTTTGGGCTTGCATGCACATGGGCCCAGCATGAGTTTAAGCCACCAGGTCCAGGATTCGAACTACAGTCAACTACATGGGAGTCCAGCAACACAGCCATTCTGCCAACTGCTGGTACTGACATGTATCTTAATAGAATGAAAACATAAAGCAGACAGGGAAATTTACCTGTCTTCTATTTATTCAGACATTAGAGAATTTACAAAAAATGTAAAACAATGCCAGTCTTACTAAAATATTCAAATATTTTGTTTTGGAAAATGCCATTTTTTGCCTAAACACATTACCTATGCTTAGTACCCCATGTTCTATTACATTTGTCTTAAATAAATGAATGACTTTTTAAAATTTCTGCTTTATTTTTATGTCATAGGATGTGTGCAGATCATGAGAGAGAGAAAGAGAGAGAGAAAGCACCTTCCAATGGGACTGGTCACACTACAATCCCTTCACCTACATTTCTCCATCCCATCAAGTTCCTGGGTATATGCACATATACCTAATATGTTTGGTTTTTTTTTTTTTTTCCCAAGCCTCTGAGGTAGGACTAGAACCCTAGCCATCTCTATGGGATTCAGCTTCCTCCACATAGTGCTTAACTGCTATGCTATAGGGCTAGCCACTATGCTTGAATTTTTAATATGGGGAGCTAGCAGGTGGTGTAGTGGTGAAGATAGTGGACTCCCATATGGCTGACTACGGTTTGAGTCCCAGACCTGGTAGCTTGAAACTCACTCCGGGTGCATGTGCATGCATGCCCAAGATCCCAAGAGGAGAAGAGAGGAAAAGGGATCATGGTGTGGCAATCCCCCCAGGGGGTGATTTCTCACTTTCTGTCTCTCTGGTAAGCACATGCACTCTGTAGCAAAAATCTGCCAAAATTTTTTTAGTTTGATAAACACTGATAAATATAACTCACATAAACAAGTTCTTCATGACTCTCAATAACTTTTCAAAGTGTAAAATATGCTGAGATCGAAATTTTGAACACTGCTGGCCTATAGTTTTGTTTTTGTTTTTTTTTTCAGCTTCTGCCTCTGTCAGACTTTGGTATCACTGTTCATCATGTAAAAACTAAGGGATTGCGGGGCCAGCAGGTGCCATGGTGGATAGAGACGCCAGATTCCCACATGGTTGACTGCGGTTTGAGTCCTGGACCTGGCGGCTTGCTTTCTTTCTTTCCCTTTCTCTCTCTGTCTTTCTCTGGTCAAATTAAAAAATAATAACAAGGGACTGGCAGGTGGCACGGTGGTAAAAGGCACTAGATTCCTACATGGCCGACTGCAGTTCAAGTCCTGGACCTGGCGGCTTGCTTTCTTTCTTTCCCTTTCTCTCTCTGTCTTTCTCTGGTCAAATTAAAAAATAATAATAACAAATGGAATTAAATAAATAATTAAATAAATAATTCTTAAAAATAATAAATAGAATTAAGTAAATAAATAATTATTTTAAAAACAAATAAATAAAAAGTAAAGGATTGCTTTTTTTTGAGAGAGATTTTTGCTATAAGGCACATGCACTTGCCAGAGACACAGAGAGAGACAGAGAGACAGAAAGCGAGAAATCATCCCCTAGAAATCACCATCCGCAGGAGGGATGGCCACGCCGCAATCCCTTCTCCTCTCAGAAATTTGGGTACGCACACACAAGTGCCTGCTGTGAGTTTTAAGCCACCAGGTCCAGGGCTTGCACCAAGGTCGAATATGTGGAAATCCAGCAACGTAAACATTACACCATTTGCTAGTCCCAAAATGACTTTCTTTATGCTTTTCATAAAATTTATGATATGAGAATAATAAGTTATATAAATATACATTAGAATAACATATATAAAAATAATAAATAAATATGTCATGCCGTTATATATACTAAACATTTATTTCTCAAAAGCTTGGAGGTAACTTTCTCAATTTCTTTTGTAGTTACTGGTTTTAAGATTTAAAAATTTCTCCTTCATTCACTTTAAGTAATTTATAATTAGTGGTAACTATATATCTATTTATTCATTGTCTTGTGTTGTTCAAAATATTCTCTGACAATACTTTTTGTTTTGAGAATTCTTTTGCTCTATGTTCCTAATTTTGTATATTTTTAAAAAATCAGCTAACACTTTGTTATTTTATACAAGTTTTGTTTTTCATTTAGAAAACAGTTAAGGGACCAGCAGAAGGTCTAACAGTTACGTCACTTGGCTCCCATGTAATCGCCCACAGTTTA